GTCTTGGCATACGAGTCGTTGTCCACGGCGACAGTAGGCAGACCGTTAGTCGACAGTGGTGTCGCTGCGGTACCATTGACGATCTCATTCAACTCAGCGGAGTTGGAGACAAACTTGCGCAAGTTGAATCCGCCTGTTGCGAGGTGATTCTTGGCACGGTTGAACGGTTCCAACGCATTGGCATTGCTGTTGCCGCCACTTGCAACATCGTCCACGTACAGACTCCGCAGCAGCTTCGTAGTGAACTCGGGATAAAACTTGGCGAGATGGTGTTGCAGGGTAGCGTTCAATAAGAATGGGCTAGCGGATACACCGAAGACAACACGCGTGAATCGGTACGTCTTGAGTACCGGCTGAGCGCTTGTGGGATTGTCGACCCAGAGGAAGCGTAGGACGTCGCGGTCGGCTGCCTCAATCCCAACCATCAAGAACGCCTTTTCTATGTCTGCGGTGAAGGCTACCGCATGCTTTCGGAACCGGAGCAGTATGCTGGTGATCTGCTCGAGCAGCGGTGGTCCCGTGTGGATGCAGTCGTTCAGGGACGGATGCGTCTTCACCTTGGCTGAGGCATCGTACACCACACGAACCTTCGTAGTGGTCTTGTCCTGCCGAATGACAGGATGGTGAGGCAGGTAATGTACTTCGCCCACCATGTCGTGCTCTGTAGTTGGCACCTCCTCGATGATGCCCTTCTGAAGTTGCTCTTGAATTACTGCATTGTATTCCTTCAGAATTTCTGGTGACTTCTGCAGTTTCTTGAGTGTTGACTGTAGCCGTTTCTCGGACAGACTGTAATTGTCTGGAAGCGCGCGATGATCCTCCCTCCATGGCAACCTGACCGTGTACCTCTGCCCATCGTAGCGGATGGTCTGTTGGAACAGCTGCAGAGTGTCCGGTTCATTAGGCAAGATGCCGATGGATTCAAGCTGCCAGAACTTCTGGAGTAGCTGGACCAAAGCACTGTCTGGATCTTGCACGGTAGATGGTTCGACATCGCAAGCGTGAACGGTTGCGACGTTAGTGGAGATGATGCCTGAATTACACCTGCCTGTTGGTCCGGACAGAACCCACCCGAGGCGAGTATCGAGAGCAGTTGGCCCATCGTCTACACGAACGATGTCGCCCGTGACGATCTGCCAATTAACGTCAGCGCCGAGTAGAATGTCGATGCTAGCTGAGCCGCCACAGTTGACGGCGAGACTGAGATTATGTAGAGACTTGTAAGCTGTGACTACATCTGTGGTGTGCTGATTTTGCACGGGTGCACAGACTGATGGAACGACGATGCAGTTGACACGAATCCGGTTGCCAGCAACGCACTGAATGCCCAGTTCGACCACGTCCCGGAGTGTGCTTGGGCTTGGCTGTTCGCCGCCAAACGCGTTTATCACTACACGTTCTTGACCGGAGCGGCGCACATCCAGTTGAGTCAGTACCGATGATGTAGCGTACGAGCGTTGGCTCCCACCATCTAGCATTACTCGTACATGCACTTTTCGATCTGGACGTTGAGGCGAGACCACCGAGGTCTGTGCAGTTTGTAGAAATACAGCTCCGCTGTCGCTGACAGTAGCTGCGGTTGTTGACGAAAACACTGACTTCGACCATTTTCCACTTCCGAATCATCTCTTCTCGCTTGCGTCGATCTCTGCGGCTCAACTGGTCTTCGTCGCCATTCGCAACTAAGGCTTTACGACCAGGGTTCACAAACTCCAGGTTTGTCACCTCTTTCCAGCTCTCGCCAGCCGATTTGCGAGGCTCTGCCGCTCTCTTCTTCGCCGCCATGTTACTTCAACAGTACTTTGGACCAGAAACTGATGCTGTACCCCTACAAGAAAGAGGTAAGTAATTTAGTAATTACTTGTTCCCTTGATCAATGACTATGTAGAAATGAAACACAAAGTCTTGGAATTTCATTGTAAGTCAAGCCAGGTGAGGGACACCAAAAGACTTCACACACCTTTAATGCTAGGCGCTAGGCGGGGCTTTACACCTGGTATTTCGCGCCAAAATTGCATGCATGGCTACTTCACATGTCGACTGAATCTGTGAGGCTGTAGGTTGTAACTGCGAACGTCTGAACAACAACTAACTGAATTCAACCGGCTCGAAGAACCAATTTACAAAAGGGTATATTGTACTTCCTCCGCGTCATCGAAATTGTCGCAGTTCGACTAGTGACTTGTCACTTGTTACTGACAACTCCATAAGCTAAACCATTCAAAACTTATTACACAGTATGATAGTCTGAAGACTAGAGTAACGTTCCAGGACAGTTGGACTGAGAGTTTTCATGCAGAGATAAAGTCCTCGTCGTCGCTGATGTCAATGGACGCAAAAATATCGTTCCGAAATATTTCAAAGAAGGTTGAAAGTTGGTCGCGCCTCATCTCAAACGCTTTGACTTTCTCCACAGGACAAGAGCTGCTATGATTGTCGTCTGCTAGCTCTGGATGATTCCTACTACACCGCCAGCGAAGCCTAGTAAGAATACAAGATCGTTGCGAGGTCGGTTGATTACCGTCGGCGGAATCACCTCGATCTTGAAATGAACTTTTTTTAGCCGTGGCATGCCCATTTATTTTAGCTGCGTGGTCACAGCTCATGCAGGTAAGTGTACTATCAAGTCCAGCGCGCCCTCTTTTTCAGCATCACTGGTACGGCACCTGCGCGTGCATCACTAGCATGCTCCACGTGTAGAGTCTACATAGCTCTTGCAGGTACAATCATGTACTGAGTGTCTCAGCTAGCCAGAGCGACAACATTTAATTTTATCGCTGTTACGTGCATTTAGTTTGCTGACCCCTCGATGTTTCTCCAAGCGCTGCTACTTGTTCCACGAAGTCATTCTCACCCCAGCTAAGGTAAAACAGTGATGAAGCTTGATTGAATGGCCATAAGCACGAGAAATGTGCAGGCTGCAACGCCTGACTGATCTCAGCGAGTCGAAATTACCATCGCAGCGACATCAGCGAAGAAATTGCGTCTAGTTCAAAAATTTCAGCTTCGAATAACAGAAAATAGAACTTTGCCGTCACCCTATAGTGATGAGTATCGACTATGTCCAATTCCTTGCCTCTGGTACGAGTGCTGGTGAGTAAATATCCCGTTTTATATCAAAAGTCAAACTGCGACAATTTCGATGACGCGGAGGAAGTAAGACTGCTTTGGCTCAACGCGAGCGCATCTTGGGTTCTCTTAGACTCAAACTGTAACTTATCACTAGACAACGTAATGAAAAAACCAATGAAACAGAAACGACACGAGGAGACAAGCTCCAGGAAAAAGGGCTAGAAAACCGTATGTCGTACGTGAAGACCATGGGAACGTCGTAGGCGTCCCATGGCGCAAAAGTTAAGTAAAATACTTTAGAAGACACGATAGAAAGAAGAAAGAAGACTGTATAATCAATTGCTTGTATGCTTTTGCTTGTATGCTTGGTGCGAACCATTAGTTTGTGACAATACTCTTATTCATGCAATCTCTAACAAGCATGCACTATCTTACAAGCATGCAATATTCAACAAGCATGCAATATTCCACAATATCCTCTCGTCATTCTACGCGAATGTGAAGAAGAAGGATGGCTCCGGGTTCGCGAAAAACAGTCTTCAATCTGCCCGTGGTGCGATTCAGCGGCATATCTCGTCATTCTCGCGGCAGATCAACATATTTACCGATCCTGCGTGCTGGCGTCATCCGCGATGAGTTTCAGCTGTCGGCTATCAAGCGCTACCTATCCAAACTCCATCCTGACGAGAATCGTTTGTTCCAGCGAGCTTTGTCAGGTGAGATGTCTGCTGCTGCCAATTGCTGGTTCATGAAAATGCCTCTTTCACGCAATATCTTATCTGGCATGATGAAGCGCTTGCCCTCGGATGCTCTTTTGTCAATGCAGTATACGAATCACTGTGTTAGAGCAACATCAATTACCAACATGAAAAAATGTGGTGTGGATGATAGGAGAACTTGTTCTGTTTCTGGTCATCGCAATGTTCAGTCTCTTACTGCTTATGATAGGCCCAACCTAACAGAGTCGTGCTCTATGGCTGAAGCTATTGATCTGAGATTGCCTGTAGCTGATAAATCAAACCATGCTGTGCAGTCATCCACACCCGCTGTCACTATTCAGAGCCATTAATCTGCTGTTCAGAGCTCTGCTTCTGCCGTATCTCCTTATCTGAATGCTGCTTCCACTACTTTCAAGCACAGTTTTATTGTGTTCAATATTCACGCAGAGCGTGCTGTTGAGGCTCGCATTCTGCTAAATAATTATCTTGCTGCTAGGCGCCTAGCTTCCTCTAAAGCTGATTTGCCTGTTGGCATGTAGGCATGGTTATTCTGCTCATGAGATAATGTGATAATAATTCTTCTCAATCTCTAAAAAGGAGTTTGTATGGTGGTGGTCTATATGGGGTTTGTATGAGGTTTACGTGAGGTTTATATGCCCAGTATAAACCACCAGCATGATGGGCAAGTTGACTGGAAGTTTGTATGAAAGGTCAGCATAATGATATTTATTGGCTCAGTATCCGAGTCATAATATAATTTCCTTCATCCTTCTTCGGTGAGGAGGCAATTATGCGTGTGCCATTGGTGACGTAACAGGCCCGCCGGCAAAGTTGGTCCGGTTTGAGGGGGGTCCGTGGGATCTCCCGTGGACATTTTTTGAAAAATCCGGTCAGAAATAGCAGAGTTTGGCCCTTTCACAAGTTTTCAGTGCCAACTACAGGGAATAACTTTGCATGGACATCAATGTACAATGTATGGCCCACCATGGGTGTATGTACATACAAGTATGTATGCATGATCGATAATACATGGACATGTACACAGAATTTTCTCTCCCCGGTTTTGGACGAATCTTAGGGGGTGACCTGAGCCAGAGTTGGTCCGGTGACAACCGGACCAACCGGACTGGTCCCGCAGCCCTGCGGAAAGTAAAAGACAAGTGCAGCAAAGGTATGCAAAAACATGAAGCAGCTACAGAATGAAATCACCTGCTGTTCTTGTACTAAAGTCACCAAGCATGTTTGGCAGTCCAATCACTCCAAGTGTATTTTGTGTGGCACATTGTGTGTTTGTGTAGGTGGCATCTTCCTCAACTGGAGACAAGATGATGGGGCTAACTTGTTTGCAAATGCTCACTGTATCCAAACCTGACATTATTATGTCCGACACTGAAGACCTCGTGAAGTTACAACAAAACTGGGAGAAATGATAGTGTCCTGGAACAATCTGAAGATTGATAGTAACTGTTGTTGATGTTATATCCGTGGAGTTGATTATAGGTAAACTGGGCCCTAAAGAGATGCAAAGCATACAATACAGATACACGGATTCCAAGGTAGAAGGCTACAAGTTTCGACCCTGCAATAAAAACAGGTAGGGTCTAGGTGGAAAATTGAAGGTAAACAATCTAACTGCTAAGTCAACTAAACAGACTTCAAATGATACTTCTTTAACTCTAAAGGGATTCAGAACTCAAATTGATGTTCCCTAAAGACAGCATGTCTGAGAATACCAAATTATGTGTGCAAGTCGATCTCTCCGATTTCGCTCAAGATTTGCACATAGGTTCCCTTTGGGGTGTAGATCGACTTTGCAAAACACTTGAAAAATTCCTGACGGGAACCTTGAAACTGGCATACCCCTCAAAGATGGTCAAAGAATAACATCATTTATGAGTCTAAAAACGAGTCTCGCCACAGGGTACACGAACAGGCTAGGAACAAAATTCCTTAAAGCCAACATTGCCTTACCTTAGAAGAGTTCCTGGGACAGCACAGCTTAGCCATGCCAGCACCCCAGAAGACAAGGGCCGTCAACCCCTGACGTCTCAAATGATCGTACTGAAAACAGCCAATTTACAAGCGCTGATAAAAGTACGAGCTACATCTCCAATTAGCAAGAACTATACACCGGCAGATAGTAGAACACCTCTTCTAGCACTGAGGACATGTTCCCCCATCTTCATTCTTGGGTTTTCTTGAAATAAACAATTTTGAAATTGTCCACTCCATCATGCTGAACTTCAGCCAAGCTCATACCTGCCCAGGAAAGCTCGCCCCTCCGCGACGTCTCCTTCAGCAATTTCTACTCCAAAGCTACTCCCAACACTGCAGAACAAAGTGTATCGTTGACCCTGACAAGGAAAATCAGCGATGATCACGTATCACTCCAAACGACAAGCTTCTCCTTGGGCTACCCACACTTTTTGGTGCGACTGTTGATGCAAAAGTGACTGAGTCCTGAGCGAAGGTTTTGAATTTACAGCAAGAGGTACAGTGAAATCACGTGCTTCATGACGCAGGATGACGTTTTCCGGATCACGACACGAAGCAATTGATCACGATCGTGCCTGGCACGCTACTCGGAACGGACGGTGATGGCTGAGGTAAGCTGCGCTGCATTTCCTGCATGGTCTGCTCAGAACCCCAACAAACTGTCCTAGGAGTGTTGCAATGGCAATACGCCTTTGAAATATTCCCCCGTACAGCAAGGAGAGTTATGCATCTTTTACTCTTACCTCCTGCTATCCCGAACATGATCCAACATTGAAAGTCCCTTGGGTTCATGCCAATGCTCGACAAGAGCTGCTAGCGTGGTCGCTTTGTGTTGACTGGTACAAGCAGTGCTTGATGCATGAACCGCATGGCAGATTTATTACGTCATTAGGAACGTGATTTTAATGGTCTTCAAGCTACATGGTCAGGGGAAAGTCCCAGTTCGCAGTTCTACAACACGGCCAGCGTGTTCTTAGGCTTTGTGACAACGCGAGTGTGATCGCTTCTAGAGCAACGGGCGTTGAAGCCAAGTAACAACGCACTTGACCAAGCTGACTTGGATATTTCGTGAGCTGAGATTCACGAGACTTGTCATTCTTGTGTAACGAGGCACGTGATGTCACCATGCCTCTTGCAGTAAAATTCAATACCTTCGCTTAGGACTTCACTTTGGCATAAGCGATCGGACCAAAAATTGTTGGTGGCGCACTAGAAGCTTGTCATTTGGAGTGACAAGTGATCACCGTCGCTTTTCCTTTTCAGAGTCAACAATACACTTTGTTCTGCAGCTTTGGGAGTAGTGTTGGAGTAGGAAAATGCTGAGGATACTTCACGGAGGGGCGAGCTTTCCTGGGCAGGTATGAGTTTGGCCGTATTTCTGCATGATGGAGAGGAAAATTTCAAATTGTCTTTTTCAAGAAAACCCAAGAACGCTGTTGGACATCTTCAATTATCTTATAATTGAGTTGAAGTGTCGACAATTTATGTTGTATCGAGGGAAGCCCTGCTAAGTATGAATTAGTGCTTACTTCACTTTTAGCTGCAAGTCCTGTCACAAGATAAGTCTCGTTACAAGATAACATTTTGATAGCTCAGAGATTATCTACTAATGAGGGAGGACCTGTACTTTGGTATTCTCAGACATGCTCTCTTAATTTTGCAGCCATCACACTTTTTTGTTTTAAATCTTACCGAATAGTAGTCCGTAATTGAAGTGTTCAAGTTGCAGGCATTGCATATAACTAGGGGTGAAACGAATTCACCGAATATCTAGAATTATTCGTTTGGAAAACAATTCGAGTTACCGTACTTCCTCCGCGTCATCGAAATTGTCGCAGTTTGACTTTTGACATAAAACGGGGTATTTACTCACCAGCACTCGTACCAGAGGCAAGGAATCGGATATAGGCGATAGTCATCAGTATAGGGTGACGGCAAAGTTCTTTTTTCTGTTATTGGAAGCTGAAATTTTTGAACTAGACGTAATTTCTTCGCTGATGTCGCTGCGATGGTAATTTCGACTCGCCGAGATCAGTCAGGCGTTGCAGCCTGCACATTTCTCGTGCTTATGGCCATTCACTCAAGCCTCATCACCGTTTTACCTTAGCTGGGGTGAGAATGACTTCGTGGAACAAGTAGCAGCGCTTGGACAAGTTGGAGAAACATCGAGGGGTCAGCAAACTAAATGCATGCAACAGCGATAAAATAATAATTTGTCGCTCTGGCTGAGACACTCAGTACATGATTGTACCTGCAAGAGCCGTGTAGCCTCTACACGAAGTGCTAGTGATGCACGCGCAGGTGCCGCACCAGTGATGCTGAAAAAGAGGGCGCGCTGGATGATAGTACACTTACCTGCATGAACTGTGACCACACTGGCCAACGGCTATTCGCCCGCCGAACTATTGTACGGCCGCAGGCTCCGCACCAATCTTCCGTGCCCACCTGATCTCCTGCAACCCTCCTGGCCAGACATCACCGCTCTCCGGGCCAAGGAGCAGGAGGCTAAGCATCGGCAAGAAGATCACTTCGATCAACGCTTCGCAGCAAAGTCGCTCTCCCCTCTGCCACTGGGAGCGAAAGTGTGGGTCGACGACAAGCGCGAGGGTACAGTGGTTGAGCAACTCACCGATCGCTCCTACAACATCGCCACCTCATCCGGTCTTCTGCGCCGAAACCGCCGTGCAGTGAAGTTGCTCCAGCCAGTGACTCCTCCCGGACCGGTGCCAGCAGTACCACCGGCCGCGCTAGTCCCGCAACAACAGCCTGTGCCTACGTCACTGCCAACTCTCCGTGCTCGCAACAACATCCAGCCACCGCAGAGACTGATCGCTACCATATAACTCTCTCTGGCTTCATGCTATTGCTATTGCTCTCCCGCACATTGCATAGTTCTGTTCTATGTGCCCGGCTATGTACAACCCGTACATGTATCTGTCTTGCCTTTTCTCCATAACAGTTTTTTTCCCAGCTGTTGTGTTTTTGCTCTCTTTAATTTTTTTTCAAAAAGGGGGAGATGTCCTATCCTGTATCATGTTATCCTTTCACCCATTCACGGCATAGTCCTTCCCCTGCCTGTCGCCATGTATAGACGGTACGTGACCTCTCACTACCCCCGTGCTACGCACGATACCATGCTCTGCTGGGCATGGCCTCCCTGACTCTTCACTATATCTACACTCATCTGTCTGTAAAATAAACCACTTCCTTATGTCAGTACATGACACAACAGTTGGTGGTGAAGTAGAAATCATCCAGAGCTAGCAGACGACAAGCATAGCAGCTCTTGTCCTGTGCAGAAAGTCAAAGCGTCTGAGATGAGGCGCGACCAACTTTCAACCTTCCTTGAAATATGTCGGAACGATATTTTTGCGTCCATTGACATCAGCGGCGACGAAGACTTCATCTCTGCATGAAAACTCTCAGTCAAACTGTCCTGGAACGTTACTCTAGTCTTCAGACTATCATACTGTGTAATAAGTTTTGAATGGTTTAGCTTATGGAGTTGTCAGTAACAAGTGGCAAGTCACTAGTCAAACTGGGACAATTTCGCTGACGCGGAGGAAGTACTCTCACGATTAGTGGAAATGGCGCACTATTTTTTCAATGTGCATAACAAATGGGGCGCTATTCAAGAGAGGGCACTATTCAAGAGAGAGAGAGAGAGAGAGAGAGCACTATTTTTTCAATGCTGGCACATTTACGTCATCTAGCATAAAAACAAAGAAGGCAAAGAAAACTGAACCTAATGTGTTCTGTAAACTATCACGACTCCAGAGAAAGGGCAACAGGAACTGCGATTTGGATCCTGAAACCACCAGTTCGATGACATGGACAAGAACATTACCAAAAGAGCACCTAACTTTCACATGCTCTTGGTTACAAGACGGGGGGGGGGGGAGCTATTCAAGAGAGGGCCATATTTGTTCACTAGCTCTTAGAGACTGGGGAACTATTCGAGAGAGGGCTTTAATCGCACAAGTACAGAATTCGTTTTGATGTAACATAACACGGTGTAACACTTTCATTAGTGAATTTCTTTTAATCCCCAAAAAGATGTAACGATACCACGCTGAGATGTCGACGCAATGTGGCCCCGATATCACTCGAAATTTGCCCAAACAAACAATGAACGAATATGGGTAACTCAGGAGGAGTGTTTTGCAAACCCAAAGAGAGCCATAAACCCGCTGAGATCTGCTTGTTACGTGTCAATTTCTCGCTGAGGAAACATACTTGCTGGTTTGGTCAACAAACATGACAGTTTGGACTGAGCCCGGATGATGGATTTGCTAAGTTCCGTGTTGTTTGCTGACACGGTAGGTCGACCACAGGCACAAGGACAGAGAACTTTGTGCAGACCTATCCACAGGAAAAGCTTGTGTCTTAACAAGCATCACTAAACAGTGCTTATTACACTACATTCATGCCATAGAGTCTATTGACGAGGCAGCAGGGAGGGGGGGGGGGGCTGGGGGTACCCAGCCTTCAATATTCTCTTCGTTTAAAACTTACGTTCCTGGGTTGTAACAATAGTTTGGGTTAGATTTGGTCCTCTTCCACCGGATGATATGGCAGCCATTGAGAATGTGTAATTTGTGCTGAAATTTAAATCAGAGACTATTTTCTGAGCGACAGTAGGGTCAACACGTATATTGTGAACATTGCTTGTGGCTCCATATTCGTTGTAGAATATATCATACCCTTTTGGATCACCATTGATATGCGTTTTTTTTACCTTTGTCCACACCAAGAGGACAGAAGTGGCACCAGGAAATAGATTAAATACGGGAGATTGAGACGGAGCTGTATATTTGAATGAGAGAAAATCGGGACAAATACAAGTAAACGAATAAGCGGCACGGAGACAATAACGTTGTTATTGCAATCAGCAGAATCAGTGAAGCGCACATTGGACATAGTAATGAACAAGAATAAAATATGGATAATAAAATTTCCTAGCAAGTTTTCTAGAGGCGTTCATCAGGGACATACGTCTCAATAATGAAATCTAGCAGTAAACAACAATATATACGTGCCATATTTTTCTCTTCGCGTACCCCTGTTATTAGTTCTCACTTCTCTAGTCTTTCTCACTTCACCTTCTTTTCTCCTATTATTTTCATATAGTGCATTTCGTACTCTTCAACATATATAATGTTGTTGACTGCTAGATTTCATAATTGCGACGTATTTCCCTGATGAATGTCTCTAGAAAACTTGCTAGGAAATTTTATTATCCATGTTTAATTCTTGTTGATTACTACGTCCAATGTCCGCTTCGCTGATTCTGTTGATTGCCATAATAAAATACAAGTAAACACTTACATAGAAAAGCCATAATAGAAGACTAATGGCAGCATGGTTGACTAAAAATTTAGTTCTACGCTGGCTGCATACCTCAACATAGTTTGTGGCTGAAAGACTAGAAAAATACATCCTTGAAATATCGTGCTTGACCCTTTTCATGCCAGCAAGTTTTTCCCTGTATTGGCCGCACTTGTCTCTGCACTGCGCTCACCTGTTCAAAGCCGCAAGCGCAGCTCGGGATGAAATTTATTCCTATTTCACTGTACCTTGATGGATTTTCACGATCCATGGCTTGTTGGAAAGATCTTGACCATGGGATGCCATTCCATGGACTCATAGCTTGATAGGCATACCAGGGTCACTTCCACCTCCTCTCCAAGTCCCCTAACCTGCCTGAAAATATCAAAAGGACTGGTTCTCATGTTTTCTTTCGTCTTCTTGCTCATAGTGAACGGATTTTCACGATTCAAACTGGAAATGCTGAGATTCAAGCTGAGATTCAAGCTGAGATTCAAGCTGAGATTCAAGCGTGCTCGTTGAAGCTCACTGTGCATGCCCTGTCTCTAGGGAAAATCCCTAGCCCGCGCGAAGTCGAAAACAAGAATTGTATCGACAACCAAAATGTGAAATTTGCGCATTCTGGCCATTCAATGTTTCGCTGCTCGGTCATACCTTGTCGTATCACAAAGAACTTTATACCCCTGGAAAGCAGAAACCTTTCGAGCGGTGTCTCATTTTCTAGAAATCCGAGAATTTTTGCACTGAATTATGACAGTTTGTACGCTCGTCTATAGCCCGCAATAGACATGTTCTGTACAGCTTAGCATCTTCTGAACATTTTGAGCCATCGATTGTCAAAATCGGCCAATATTGTGCTACCTTATACTGTTTTGAAGTGAGGTAAGTCGGCAGGGGCGCACGAGAACTCCTGTGCGCGACGACAAGGAAGGAAGCATGTGCACATACGGTGTAGATGCGGAAACTATACCAGCACGGCAGCAGCAAGGCGTTTTTTGCAATGTTTCCCTCCGTGACTGACAAACTCTAGAAATATTATTCACCGTTTGCTGTCTCGCTCATCGGTGCTCTACTGCTGAGTGCTTCAGCAGCTATGGCGAACCTAAAATACGTGACCAGTACAACGGCGAAGCCATTATCTTGATTTGTCCTCTTGCAATGAAACAGAGTGGTAAATCAAATAATTCACAACTCTCCATCGTCACTTCTCACAGCAACGTGGCACGGCTCTTTCACTCGTATACGCGTATTTACAAAACACTCTGAGAACAGAGATAACGAGCTAGAACTGGAACACGGTGTGAGTCTTTGCTTCATTCCGTCAAGGACCTCTTGTCCTCTATCTCTCCTCACCTGTGCCAGCGCATCAGCGGACGAGATAGATGTCGATCCCTTTCTCAGCAAAGACTGCAGAAATCGCAACTTCTACTTATTGCAGGAGTCCGCATGCGAAATGTCTGAAGCCTTCAGCTTACGAGGCCAACACTGTTCCCAACACACGGGCTCGGAAAGAAACAATAATAACGACGGTGAACGGTAACCAAAGTGAAACGAAAGGCCCCAGCCGGTCTCCGTCTTCCTCAGTTCTACTTCTTCTTGTCAGTCACTGCAACTCACAAAACCTCGAGTCCTTGCTGTGCTCCGCGCACTGCCGCGTGCATGTAGCTCAGGTCACGCGATCTCATTTCTATGGTGATCAGATTTCAAGATGTCCTCCCACGTAATCGAGTTTTGGCATCCCAACTGTGTGCCATGACAGTGTACATTGCACAATGTAGACAGAAGGCGTGAACGCGTCCATGGCCAATCTGCTCATACTGAAAATGTACGACTTCAAATAAATCCAACCAACCAACCAACCAAAAAAACGTGTAAACGCGTCCATGGCGCGGAAAGGGTTAAAGGGGAAGTGCATCGATTTTTCAAGTAGGGTCCAGATGAAAAATAATTTGATATCGATTCGAATGGCATATCTCTTGCTTGCATATGATAAGCCAAACTTAATGTAAACAACTTATCGATGATGCACATTCTGCTTAGCTCCGTGAGAGAGAGAAGGTCGATCACTGCAGAATTCGGTCATTTTCAATTGGCTTATTGCATTCACGAAGTGTAAGAAGTGCTGTATTCAATGCTGTTAATGCCGTGAACTGTTTGTCAGCCCGCATAGCCAGCAATCGCATGTCATCACGTACATTGAAAATCAACATATTTTGCGAATCGAACTTTTTTCAGCATCATTTTTCAACGAGGACGAAGCAAAGTCGGCCGAACGAAGCCTAGAGGAAGAGAATCATCTTGTCCACTTCACCACCACCATACTGACATACATGTAGGTACGAGATAAAACAACTAAAAAGTCAACAAGAAAACTGCACGCCCACCGCCGCACTGAATTTGGTCTGACAATTTTCTATTGCCACCAAAATGCACGAGGAGCAGTCAAAAATCAGCTACAGACGTACCTTTGTCGCTCTCTACTCCTTTTTCAAGCCACGAAAGTCGCCTGTCCACTTTCAAACCGGAAACCGAAAATAGTCTATTTCAGTGTTTCTGCTCCATACAGCAACTAGCTTTGATTAGCTACAAAGATTACACCAAAGGATCAAACAACAACCAGTTTCTTCAGTTTTTTGGCAGAAGACTTCCTTGTGCTTGGCCCAGCAGGCCAAAACTCACACTTTGTTGGAGGGCAAAAATTACAACTATCAGATGTCCTCGATTTCTGGCCATCTCCTGCATATCCCTAGGCTTACTGCAGCCTAGGAAATGGCTCCTCTTGTAGAAGGTGCTTGGTATTCGCCATCTCTTCTGAGAAATGTTCAGCAAACTGTCCAAAAAGTACGACATGATTTCGTTCGTCAATCTCCACCACCCGTCGTCTCACCTGGGTTCAGAAGATGTTTCAAGAGATAGAAGAGTTGCCAGGAAGCATCACATCCATCTTCAGCAAGTTGAAAGGTCAAACGGCGTGGTCCTTGGTTTGGGTAAATGCTGAACGTCTCATTTGTCCCAACCAAGATTTCACCACTTTGTTCGTCACTATTTTCGCTTATCTGCTGATGTCTCCTCACTCCAGCTTTCTCCTGTCGGTGTTACGTCCAAGTACACAGCCGAGAGGACTAATAGTGAACAGTTCACGACACTAACAGAATTAAATACAGCCTTCTTTCACTTTGTGAATACAATAAATTGAAAATGACCAAATTTTGCAATGATCTACCTTCTCTCCCAAGGTGCTAAGCAGAACGTGCGTCATCAATGCGCTGGTCGCTATAGTAACGTGAGCATACAATTGGTGATTTGCCACGCTTGGCTTATCGTATGGAAGCGAGAGATGTGCCATTCGAACCGACATCAAATTGTCTTTCATCTGAACCCTACTTGAAACATCGATGCACTTCCCCGTTAAAAGTTTGTTGCCGAATACACGAAGTGTACAACATGCGCAGAGGTGCTAAGTTGAAGTGCAATTTAATGATTGACATACATTTAACTGAGGTGGCTTACCTGAAGCGCTGGTCATCACAATCACAGCAGCAGTAAACTGTGATGGCAGTTGACCAGTTTTTGTGTTGGAAGATACTGAGTAGTTTGTGTATGAATAGAGACCTGATATCGTCACATTCAAAGTTTTTTTGCATATAACAGCTCCGGATGTATTATTTTTCACACAGAAATCTGTGGTCCTGTTTTCAAAGGCAGAAAAGTGTGCAGTTATTGATGTTGAATTGCTGGAGTATGTCACAGTCGGGAGCATTGCTGAAAATAGAAGCAGCAGATAAAGAAATACATTCACAACCATGTGCTTCACAAAACTGTTACATGCAACCCAGGCACTACACAAGACCAAGACAAACTTGTCAGATAGGGAAAAACTCAAGACTTGTTTATCACTCGTTCAGAGCAAGACAAGACAACAAAACAACAGGCATGCGCATATGCATGCAGGCAACGTAAGTAATAAGATAACAACTTATGACGCGTTTGTAAAACGCTTGCTCAGATATCACATCCCTCCACCATCAGATGGAAACGGCCAGAATAACAGAAATACATAGACTGTGTCGTGGCAGCAAATAATCTGATAAGGCGAACTACAGATCAAGGCGGACAGGAGCCTTTACAGAACGAGAAGAACTGCGCATAGACACGACAGGACTAGAACCACTAGATTGGTTAGGAGTAGATTCAGGAACAGATAAATCAGCATTCTCACGGATCTCATCATGTACAATCGAGCCAGGCAGTGACATAGACTCATTCGGCGGAACACTAGGTAGAGCAGTTGAAGACGGTAGAGCTGTGGTAGAAGGTAAAGCTCTGGAATATGGAAGCTGTGGTGCTGACGTAGCAGTTGAAGCATCTTGCACCGACTCAGCAGGAAGGCGTTTCTTCAGGTGGTCAGAGTGACGCTTCCAGACTCTGTTATCAACAAGACGAACCGTGAATGTTAGAGGACCAAGCTGTTCTTCCACGGTGCCAGCTATCCACTTCGGTGAGGAGTTGAAATTCATTGCCCAGACGGCATCACCACAATAGAACTGGTATGCATTTGCACCACCACGATCATGGGCAGTGCACTGTTTGTCCAAGACTTTCTTGCCGCTGTCCGGGAACACGAGATCCAGACGTGAGCGGGGACGATGTTCCTTCCAAAGTAGCTCAAACGGAGAACGACCCGTTGTTGACTGCGGCGTCATTCTGTATTGGAACAGGAACCTAGCAAGGCGGGTTTCCAAATCAGGGCCAGACATCTTGGCCAAGCCAGACTTCACCGTCTGTACTGCGCGCTCGGCTAAGCCATTACTAGACGGATGATATGGTGAAACGAGAGTATGACGTATGCCATTAGATGAGCAAAACTCACGAAATTCACTACTTGCAAAAGCAGGGCCATTGTCAGAAACAATATTATAAGGTAAGCCAAGCAGAGCAAAGGTCTGCTCCAGCTTGCGAATTGCGACAGCAGCAGATGAGCCAGAGCAAACATGTGCTTCAATAAATTTACTATGACTATCGACAATAATGAAGAGCATCTTACCAGCGATGGGTCCAGCAAAGTCGACATGGACACGTAACCAAGGCTTACCAGGCCATTCCCATGGGTGGACTTGCTGGCGATGCGGCGACTTGGTGACGGTCTGGCACTGCATGCAACCACGGACGGTCTGTTCGATTTCTGCATCGAGAGACGGCCACCAGACATAGCTGCGTGCCAGGGCTTTCATTCTAGCGATACCGGGATGACCGGCGTGCAACTCGTCCAGCAATGGTGCACGACCCGGTGAAGGAATAACTACCCTGGAACCAATTAGGATACAGTTATTCAAGACAGACAGCTCACTACGACGACGGGAATATGGCTCTAATCCCTCTGGAATGTCTTGGGGCCAGCCCTCAGATACGAACTTGTATACTAATGCCAGGGACGGATTTTTGCTCGTCCAGCGAGCAACCGATGCAGACGTAACCGGTGTAGTGTTCAAGACGGATAGCGATAGTACAGCCTCGGCTGGCTGCGGCGGTTCCGGTACCAGCGCCGGATTGGGGAGGCGACTCAACCCATCAGCGCAACCGTTCTGTTTCCCAGGCTTGTACTCGAGAACAAATTCATAATTGGCTAGTTTGAGTGCCCATCGCTGAATACGACCACTAGACTGAACAGGAATGGGTCTATCAGGATCAAACAATCCCAGCAGTGGCTTATGATCTGTTTGTAGTGTAAAGTTGCGACCGAAGATGTACTTGTGGAACTTGGAGACGCCAAATACCATTGCCAAGGCCTCACGGTCAAGCTGCGAGTAATTCTTCTCACAAGACGACAGCGTTCTAGATGCAAAGGCTACTGGCCGATCAGACCCATCTGGCAGAACATGCGACAGAACTGCGCCAACACCATACGGGGAAGCGTCACAGGACACGACAATAGGTAAACTAGGATCATAATGAATACGTATCGGCTCAGAAAGCAGCAGAGACTTGCCTGTATCAAACGCTTTCTGGTGACTATCAGACCAACACCACGACTTTGATGATAACAATTCATACAATGGAGCTAACACTGAGCTTAGATTCTCGATGAACTTGTGGTAATAGTTTATGAGTCCCAGAAAGCTTCTCAGTTCAGGGACATTCTTGGGCTGTGGGGCCTTCACAAGGTCATCCACTTTCTCAGCCGACGGCCTAATGCCGACTGAATCAATAACATGGCCCAGGAACTCAATAGACTGCTGAGCCACGAGACACTTCTCACGATTCAACCTGAGACCCGCGGACGCTAGACGATCCAGGACCAGCCTCAGATTCTCATCATGCTCCGCACGAGTCTTTCCAGAAACAACAATGTCGTTGAGATACACTACGACAAAGGACAGACCTGCTAACAATTGTTCCATCGTGCGCTGAAATATTGCCGGGGCCGCCGACACGCCCAAGGGTAGGCGGTTGTAGACAACCACTATCCTTTGGAGGTGTTGATTGTCGTCAGCAGCTTAGACTCGTCGTCGAGCAACAGTTGTTGATAAGCATGTTTCAGGTCAAGCTTGGAGAAGAATGCGCCTTGCGATAACTTCTGATACAAGTCGTCGATGTTGGGCAAGGGGTACTTGTCTACTCTTGCCGACTGGTTGATAGTACATTTATAATCGCCACAGATTCGTATGCTACCGTTCCGCTTGAGAACGGGTACGATTGGAGCTGCCCACTCCGAATACTGGACAGGACTAATGATGCCAGCTTCCTCCAGTCGACTCAGCTCTTTTTCCACTGCTGCTTGTAACGCATAAGGAACAGAGCGTGCCGTCAGGAACCGGGGTCTGGCGCTGTCTGCCAAGGACAATTTGACTTTTCCATGTTTCCAGGTGCCCATGCTACGTTGGAAGAGCTGCGGGAACTCTGACAATATCGAGTGCTCGCGTGACACGTTGAACACGAAGTTCAAATTCAACCTCAGCAGTTGCAACGCGTCTCGACCCAGGAGATTTGGTCCGTTTCCTTGGACAACGACGATCGACAATTCTGCTGATTAACGAGAAGCATGGGTCGCAGAAGCACTAAAGCGACCGACGACATTCAGAATTCCGCCGGAGTAAGTACGCAGCTTCGGTAGATCACTTGTGTCGAGCGACAAATTGACCTTGGATGCCAGCCGATGAAATTCGTTTTCAGACATCACCGTCACGGCTGCACCCGTGTCGATTTCAAACACGACTGGCTGTTTACATAACTGGAGGGTACAACAGTACGGGTCCACGCGGTCCTTGTCACTCTGCGTGCGGTACAACGAATAGTACTCGTCCAGGCCGCTGCTGTACGGACTTGCAGTTGTAGGACCGGATGTAACACTCGCACCAGTACCAGCACTTGCACTATGACTTGGAGCAAGAGCAGGGTCGACTGGCGACGTTCCATGTACTTCTTGAGACTGGCCAACCATGTGTACACTGCCACCAGTGCTGGACTGCTGTGAACGGCAAACTTTGGAGAAGTGGTTTGGCTTCCTACACTTCCGGCACGACTTGCCCCAAGCTGGGCATGACTCGCGCTTCTCGTGCCACTGGTCTCCACATCCACCGCATTTACGTGACTGGCCACGCGATGACTGCACAAATCCACCCCGTCCAGCTTGCCTGTGACTCTGGTCTCGGTCGTGCACGGCATTGACAAGCATACTACTACTCCCGGTATAACCGGTACCAGACGAAGTAGAAGTGGTTGAGGACATTCCTTCCGACTGGGACTGGGCGTCCTCCCAAATTCTGCACATTTCCAACGCTCGTGGCAGAGTCAGGGCTGGTTCTGACAGGAGCTTCTTCTTCAGCTCACTGCTGTCGACTGTGGCTACGATCTGGTCACGAATAGCTTCCGCAGTTTGTCCTTCATTCTCGAAAGAACAAAGCCGAGCTTGCTGCCGAAGCTTGGTGCAGTACTGCACTGTGGACTCTCCCTGCCGGCGAGTGAGTTGACGGAAGACGTGCCTCTCATACGTAGGGTTTGCAGGAGCACCGAAATGAGCTTGCAAGGTACGCTTGCACTTGAGGAACTCATTGTCATTCTGTGTTCTCTGATCTGGTGGAAGGCTGTCATCTGGGTCGGATAGGTCCTCGAATAAATCCTGAACTTCTAGACCCGCGAAGTGCAAGAGCAGTGCTTTTGAACGCTTCTTGTTCGTAATGTCCTTTCCCGTCAGATAATAGTCAAAGGCTCGAACCCATTTTGTCCACCTCAGAGCCACTTGAGATGGGGGTCCGGACGTGTCGAATGGTGGAAGACGGTCACGATCTCCCTCTATCGCGCAGGACGTTGTCTTCGTCGCCAAATTGTTACATGCAACCCAGGCACTACACAAGACCAAGACAAACTTGTCAGATAGGGAAAAACTCAAGACTTGTTTATCACTCGTTCCGAGCAAGACAAGACAACAAAACAACAGGCATGCGCATATGCATGCAGGAAACGTAAGTAATAAGATAACAACTTATGACGCGTTTGTACAACGCTTGCTCAGATATCACAAAAACGTTCATGCTATATCTGCCTCTTGTGAATTACTTGGCAGCTCTATTCAGTTTAAATCTTTTGAAATCTTAAAAGGTGCTAGGATGCGCCTTCCCACTTGGAAGGTTCAAAGTTATACGATTACATACAGCTGTTGGAGTGCGCATGCAAGACGTGCTAGAGCTCATGGTCAGTTAGTTGTAGAACGTCAGTACCGTTGGTCAGTGTCGTACAGTGTTATCGCATGGGCTGATTGTTTCGTT